GACTACCCAAGAGTCCAAAACATACAGTTTCTCTGTATGTCCAAAGAATAATGTGGGTTTTTGTACCCAAAGAAAAAAGGGGATCTGAAACAACCAGCTCCTTTGAAATGTCACATATTCACAGAAGGAGGTGTTTGTGAAGAGAACATCACTTCTCTAATACATGCCCAGTTTAGTTTCACCTGTTTCCATGTGCTCCCTTCCCAATTCCTACAACCTGCTTGCACATCCTGTTTCACTATGAGCACGAGCTTCTCCCCCAGAGCAGTGCCGCCTTCACTTCTCCTCACAGAGTGAGCTGAAGTAACAGTCAAACTGGGAGCAAAAAAACAGACAAGTTTCCCCTTGTTTGTCCAAGCTGCAAACATGACTGAGGTGCTGGGACAGCTCTTTCAACATAGGGTACCACCTACCAACAGTCCTCTGATGAGAAAATGGAAGAGTGGCCTCTGAAAGAGCAGTGATTGGAAAAGCATGACAAGGCAGAGCAGATCTTCCAGCAGGAGGGAGGACAAGGAAAAGGATGCCCAGAACATATTAGAGGAAACCCCAGATTTCAGAGATGGAGGGGCAGGAGGACAGAGATACTGGCAGCATGCAGAGGTCTGAGGAGAGATGAAGACAACTACGAGTGCCTATCAGAGGAAGTCAAGCAGAAACTGGAAAGTGTGGAGGAGCCAACTCCAGTGTGGAGCGGTCTGAAACCACTCTCCAACAGCAAAGGAAACTGACAGAAGGAGAAGAGACAGAAGGAAGACACATTTCACACAAATAAACACAACAACTTAAACACTGCCCACTGTCACCTCCAAGGTCCGCAGAAGACTCATGACTACATTTACCCACCCAACACGGAGCACCTCAACCTGACACGAGGTGAGCTGGACCCCCACTGCAGGAGGCTCTGTCAGCTCTCTTTCACAGAAAGCCGAGCTCTGACTCTGGCACTGTGTCAAGTCTCAGGGAATAACAGCTTCCAGCAAGCTTTGTAACATCTGTCTCCAGACTCCCCCAGCAGCCATGAAGGGAGCAGAAGTGCAGGCCATGAAGCAGCTCCCCAGCATCCCCATGGCACCCCGGAACTGCTCCTCTCACCCAATACATCTTTTCCTTTACAGACCTCTTCTTTTAGCACTTCTCAAGTTGTTAAAAACTTACTTCTTTATTTATGAGCTACAGCTTCTTATTTTAAACATCCACGTTAAGCTTGCCCCTCCCAAAATACCATTTGTTATAAATTATAATACACCCATGAAATCTTGCCACGCTGGCAGCCAATGACGCTGTGTGCACATCACAGCTACAGATCTGGAAAAACAAAACATTCTCTAATGGAACCTCAAAGGGAGAACAGAAACAGAGGGATCACCCGAAGCTCCCAAACCCAAAGCCACCATCTATCCATGCACCCTTGGAAAGAGCAGCATCACTGCCCAAGGATACCATAGGGGCTGTGCCATCAGTAGGGGTCCCTGAATACCCATCGGTATTCTGACCCTGGCACATGGGGAGAGTGCTTTACAGGGGCACTCAGGATGCTGTGAGGAGCCATCAGCATTGTTCGACTGAGTTCCAAACATCACAACCTGCTCCACACCTGGGGTTTTGCTGTGCTGTCTTCCCACCCCAAGTGCATTCACTGAGAGTTTTTAAGAAAGAAGAAAAAAAAAACAAAGGCCTTGGACAATTAGCAGGCCTTCTGATTTAGCTATTAAAAAAACCCGACATCATTTCCCTCTTGTTTTTCTAAATAAAAATAATGTATAGCCCTGACTTGATAATAAATATGCTCAGAAGCTGTCTTTAAGTAAAAGCTTTTGATAACAAATTGCCTATGCTAACTGCTATTTTACTGTTGAATTTTTTATTGTTGCTTAAGCACTGCAATTATGCTAATAAGCCTGCGAGGATGGTACACTAAAGCATTGAATGTGACAGATATAATACTCAATAAAATGTTAATCTTACCTGAAAATTGGAATCAAACAGCCTTATTAGTATTTATGGATATGGCATCTTTAACATGTTTCTTAAGAGGAATATATATATGCAATGGATATTTTCAAATATACCTTGCTATTTCTCGTGCCTCCATGTGATTTAATTCAGGGTGCCTATTACGCCTGCTGCTAACTTCCAGTCCCTTTTGGATCAGGAAAAAAGCATTCTTGTGTTTGAGCTACACTGAACTTCTGCACTGCTGAATGGTTTTGCCCTCCAAACCTATAGGTGAGATGGTCTCTGACCTGACCGTGAGCTTCATGCTGTGCCTTCACTTGCTCACCCATGAAAGAAGTCAAAAACAACCTCAATATATTCACGTGCTTCTGACATAAGCTGTATTTACATCCATGATCGGGCTGCATCAACAGATCATTCTCACACAGTACACTGGTGTGGCTCTCAGACACTGCAGGCTAATGCTTAAATAACAGCCTGCTGTCTTGCAGCCTCCCTGCCTCTACTGCTCTCACCCAAAGAAGTTAATTCTGCTGACAGGACTGCAGAAACGTCAATAAGACACCATTACTTCTCCTGACAGACAATCGAGGTTCTTGCTGCTGGATGCTGCGAGCCTCCTCTGTGGAAAACACGAGGCAGGAGCCATCCAGGAACTGCTTCGATGAATATCGACAGTGGGGAAAACCCAAGCAGCTGCCCACCGAAACAAGACATTTCCAAAGCACACAAAAAAATCACATGAGCTGCCCACACTCCCGGCACAAAACACACAGGGACTTTCTTGAGCATCGCCTGCAATGCACAGCAGCTTGCTCTCAGGTCAGGATGTCCCTTCTTATGTTTATGGAAGGAAAGAGGACTGCTTTGGAGGATAGGTCAGGGCAGTTCCACAAGACCTCATTTGCGGATGCAGGCACGGAGCAAGGCATTAGAAAAAAACTATTTTCAGTTGCAAAATCATTCGAATAAAACTACAGAATTGACTGAGCTTGCACCTTGGAGAGCTGTGAGGCGCACCTCGGGGCTCCTCTGCCCCAGGTTTGCCCCAGCACGAAGTGCCAGGCTCCAGATCTTCAGGTCGAGCCGGCAAGTCAAGCACTGCACCGCTGCTGTGTGCTGCAAGGCAACCCATAGAGACAGCAGGGCTCAGCTCTGAGTGTGGTCATTATTTTCAACCCTCAGGGGAAATGCAAATTCAACTTGGGCATATTGTTTTCTTTTGCTAAGCAGCAATGCTTGAATGTTAACTCCAATCCTGACAGGCATATGTATATTCTTTGTAAATAATCTCACCCTGACCAGTCCAAAAGGTCAAAATCAAAAAATAATACGAAAAAAAGACAAGCGTGGAAAACTGTCAGCACCATTGGCACAACCCCTCAACCAACTAACCATCCTCAGCACAAGGTGAACTGCAAGCTCTTGGATTTATTTGATTGATTGAGATCAAAAGATCGGAGGGCACAGAGGAAATTGCATCCTTCTATGCATGCACGCTGCTTTCAAGATTTGAGCAGATAGTTGCAGGAATTTTAAAACTCAAAGAGAAAAAAAAAAACATTTAAAGGTGATTTCAGAAAGGCATCCCCTTATTTCTCTCTTGACACCCTATGCACTTTTTAGAGCTATCTGAATGGTTCCTCCAAGTTCCTGCAGCCCTGGGACCCAACAGCTTATCTCTGCTAAACAGAAGATGCTAACAAACAACAAGAACTCACATAACTCCAGAGGAGACATCACTATTTGCTGACATTAAGGATGAAAGCAAATTTAGAGAAACCAAACAAATCCCAAATGTCCAATAGGAGGCTTAAGAATTCCCTACTGCTATTCGGGTGTCCTCAGACACAGGACACACATCTCACTACACTTCTTGGCTGCACAAGGAAGATGAAGCGCCCTCAATTTGCTTCTCTGGCAGTGATCACACAGAGGCACCAGGGCTGCCTGGGCCCACGTGAGGTTTGTCACCTGCAGCTCCTGGGGGAGCAAGGGAAAAGCAAGGGGACTGAGTGAGCAGCCATCCTTAGGACACAATTTCAACACAGAACACAGAAAAAGCCTGCACTGCATTCACTGTCAAGACAGGACAAAGGAAAACAAGGAAGAACAGAAACAGAAGAAATATTAAATTCTGCCATCCCATCAGCCCTTGAACCAAAGAGAAAAGAAAACATTTGGTTCTCCTGCTTGTGTTTCACATATTGTTTATATTTTTGCTCAATTTATCTGAATCTATAGCATTATCCTCTCACATCTTAACTATACAGGTGTGATTACCTGCCTGAGAATAAGAGGAAAATCCCTAATACGGATTACAGAAGAGACCCGAACTTTCAAGAGCTTGCTACAAAGGAACAAGAATTGGTACAACCTCCTGGTTCTGTCGCAGGTTTAGGTTACATGCCAAAACCAAGGGCTGAACTCCTTTTCCACATGATTGCACTTCACTCCAGAAGGAGGACATCACCTTTCAGGTAACAAAGATTATCACCATAGATTTGAAGCTCATCACCAGACCAGGCAGTTCCTTCTGCACAGGTACACCGAGTTTTTCTTTTTACCTTATCAGTTTTGAATAACATCATTAAGATAAGAATTTCACCTTTTCTGATTTCTAACCTTCAGCAGGCTGCAAGGACTTTCCAGAAGTCATCCCGCCTGTTGCCCCACTACTTGAAAGGATCAGTTCTCCTAGAGCACATCCAATGAGGCTTTTTTAACTGATTCTAAAACCTTTCTAACAAACAACTGAAACTCCACAAGCTCCTCAGGCAGTCCATCCAGTGCTCAGCTCTTCTCAATGCAAGAGATCATCTACTAACATCTCATCTAAATTTCTCTTGCTGCAACTTAAGCCTGCAATTTGTCTTACTTACAGTGAGCAGATTTACAGTTTGTTCCTTCTCTTCACAAGTTCACTGTTGCCAAAATTCACGAACTGAGGCACCAGTGTGGCTTGCCCTTTCTTTGCCATTTTGCTTTTGCTCAAAGTGCGTTCTTACTCTTGTGTCTCTGCATTGTGTTTCATTTCTTACCCCAAGAAAACAGGCAGCTAGAATATCACAAGGCTGTTTCAAGAGAATACGCTCACATCCAAAGGCTGATGCAGTCAGGCACACCCAATCATAAGGCACTCTGAAAGAAGAAAAAAAAAAAGATTTCTTTTTAGGACGGTATGCAAAGGGTCCAGAAATAAACCAGCAACCGTCAACCGTCCACTCTTTTATTGAACATTCAAATTAGATCTTCAAAAGCAACATCAATGACTGCAGATACATCGACAACTTAGCCACGTTTTATCTAGCATCCACCACAAGGATTTGATAGGTCTTCCTTCTACCAAACGGGACAACAATGACTTTGCATGAAGTTCTGCCAAGCTACAGGCAGTCGCCAACACACATCAAAATCAGACGGCTCCAACTCCAGCACTTCATTCACTGTGACAGAGGACAAATCTTAATGTCGCCACCAGCGACTTTATTTTCAGTGTCACTGAAACCAACAGAGACAAAACTACTTTGAGATTTAGTGTGTGTAATTATGGGGTAGATCCAGAGGAAAGTAGTCAGATTCAACGAAAGGCTGAATAACTTCTGTGTGCACAACATATGCCCCTACCTCCCAGTCTGCAGGATGCTCTGCATAGCAAAAAGAAATTTCTCTCCTGAACGAAAGGGTTTGGTGATAAAGGAGAAAGAAGAAAGAAAGGATTTATACGAGCAGCGTTGGGAAACACAGGGGGAGAGTTCTGAATAGCACAAGCATCCCAAATTTCATGAGATAACAAGCAACAAGGGAGAGCAGTGATAATACATCTGCTTTCCTATTTTTGTAAGCAATCAATTTACCACAACAGCACCTTAGAAAGGATTATTTCTTGTACTCCACCCAGTCACAATCCCTTTCTCCCATTAGTAGGGGATGCTGTTAGCATCCACTTGGCATGGTTTTCTTTCTTTTTTTTTTTTTTTTTTGCCTCTTCAGTCCTTCCCAGCTGCCCTGGACTTTTGCTTTCCTTGATCATTTCTCTCTTCCCAATAAAGCCCAACTGCTGTCAACACAGCAAAGTGACATGCTCCTATTTAGCATAGACTTGATAACAGAAGTGGTGTTTCCAAGGCTAAAGACAAATACCTGCACCAATAATGTCCCTACATCACACAGTAGCTGAGGAGACCAAGCAATAAATGCCTTGTACTGAAGATGTAGAACTCAAAGAATCTCAGCAATGTAGATGGCCAACTAATGAAGGAGTTCAAACAGAGGCCTATCTTTAACGATGCAAACAGCTTTGATGATTTCCACAAGACCACCTGTGCTATCAGAGACATTACCTCCCAAAATGCCAGTGAGAGATAGATGTTCAGCAAGGGATATAGATGTGAGGAGTGCTTCCACCAGGAATATGCACCCATTTCTATAGCAGAATTAGAACAGCTGTTGAAAACCATGAAGTAGTATTGAATGGCAGCTCAGGACAGGGAGCCAAGAAGACTACTGCATGCAATTGAAACTGCCGAGGGATTAAGCCAGGTCAAATGTAATTACACAAAACTGGAACTTGGCCAGGGTGCTGGTTTACGAAAATTAAAAGAGGTGTTCAAAAGTTTCAGAGATAGAGTCCTTCTGTTAATTATTTGGTGAGTCAGTTGCTGAAGTCTCAGTACTCTGGGAGGCTGTCTGAAAAAAAGGGGAAAAATGAGGCATAAACTTAAAAGGCATTAGGAGTGATTAGCAAGAGCCTTTGTTCTCCATGGCAATGCTTGCTGCACTACTGTGTGAGTGCCTTTCATGTTCATGCTGGAAAGTGGCCTTAGCTCCTTTGATACTTCTGGGAGGAAACATTTAAGCGTACAAATATCCCAATGTCAGAAGTTCCAGACAACAGTCGACGAACATCAACATATCCCAGCCAGGTCAGATCCAGCTCTCAGGCAGTGCTTCTGCTCAAGGGAGGAATGCAAACAGAGACATTTAGAAGCTTATTTAGACCCTAAGCAATGTTTACCCTACTTGCTGGCCATGTACGAAGGCCAGGTCATGTGGAAAACAAGGTTGCAACCACGCGGGACAGCGTTCTTCTTACTTTCTTATGGTTTTGGGAAGATGGAGAGAACTTAAGGTGATAAGGAGATTAGAAAAGGTGCTTCATGGCCAATGTGGTCCTCCACAATGACAAAGAGAAGCTAAAAGAAGGAAGTGGATAGACTCTTTAGCAGGGCCTCATGATAGGACAAGAGGAAATGACAAACTAAAAGAGAGGACATTTAGACTGGGTATGAGGAAGAAGTTTTTTTACTCTAAGGACGACGAGGCACTGACACAGGTTGCCCAGAGGCAGCGGGTGCCCCTTCCCTAAAGGTACCCAAGGTCAGGCTGGACGGGGCTCTGAGCACCTGATGGAGCTGTGGGTATCCCTGTTCAGTGCAGAGAGTTGGACCAGGTGGCCTCTAACTCAAACAATTGTATGCTTCTATGAACAACAGATAAGAGGAAAGGCACAGTATTTTTTATTTATTTATTTATTTTTTTAAGTCAAGATATTTAATGCCTAAATTAAAGTACAAAGAGAACAAATCTGGAAAAGATGAGTATTAACAGTCTCTGATGAACAGTCACAAACTCTGTTCAATTTCTGAAACTTGTACTACAGCCATGAACAAAATATGGTGTTTTCTGGAGAATAAGAATAATAAGAAAGCCTTTTAAGTCTCAGTTTTGGCACCTGATAGTTGTAGCTGCCTCTGCTACCTCTGCATCTGAAATTTATCATTAGAGATACACTCATTACTGTCTCTGAAACAGTTGCATCTGACAGTAAAAGCAATAGGAGATTAACCTTTTTGGGTAGTTTATTTGGTGAACTGTTCAGCTGATGCACATTAAACAAACCAATTTTTAGACTGATGTGAAAATAACGGAAAGATTAAACAGCAATCTTCCCAACAAGTGCACAGTGAGTGACACGGCTTCCTCTGGAAGCGACGGCAGGTGAACACACAGCCGCAGGCTCTGCCATATCAATTTCATGCACTATTTTTTTTTTCCTTTTCAGAAAACAAGCCAAGAACAGACAGGCGTTTCACAGCACAGACTGGTGCAACTTGCATCTATGCTTGTTGCCATTAGCGCAAGAAGTGCTCCGTCAGTGGGGACAAGTCATGGAGGGGACAAGGAAAAATAGTTTCTTGCTCACAGCCAAAGGGACAGGAAGACCAGTGTGACAGAGCTGCAGGTACAGGTTCTCTGCAGCCAAAGCAGTTAGGAACCAACGCCAATGACAGCCTCCAGTGCCTGACACGAAGCACAGGGAGGTGGAACAGGAAGCACCGATGCCAAGCAGTAATAAGGATGGAATCACAGCTGCTTCTCAAATCAGATTTTTTTTGCCTAGGTTACTTGTTATTAAAAGAAATTATAAGTTTCAGCACACAGGGACATCCTGTTCGCTGTATTAAATGAACGGGATGATTCAAGAGCAACAGCTTTCAGGAGGCAGGGAGGGAGGAATCAATTTCAGGTTGCTACAGACAACTGGGCCTTTTCCTGTCAGAAAAAATCCAATTCAGCTCTACGAACCCACGATGGAACATTCCCTGAAATACAACACTCACACGCTCACTAAATAAATAAATACACTAAAATACACACTCATGTCATCTCCCAAATTTTACCAGCTGAACTAAGGGTACGCTCCAACCTGCTGACTGCAACTCAACAAGCATGGAGCTTCGGCTCAGCACTATCTTCTCGACTGCAAGTTCAACGCCTATCTCTGCCTTACAGGGAGAAAGGTATTTAATGGCAAAGTGGCATCCTGCACAACAAAGCAGAGCAGAGCACGGTGATTTGGGATGCTCTTCCACAGGCTCTAGGCTTACATTGAGGCCCAAAGGCTGTTAAGTGACCAAATAAATCCATCTCAATCAATCCCTCTGTGAAGAACACAGGAAACAGTTCCATCCTACAGTATTATGAGTCTTAATTTTATGGAGCAGTTGATGTTTTTCCAATGAAAGGTACCATTAAAATATAAGATTTTATTAGCAAAATCAATGATGTGTGCAGAGACAGTCCCTCACGGCTTTAAAAAATGCCTATGAATAATTATAAAACTGATAGCAGTAGAGAACACCATACAATTATTACTGCTGTTTTACAGGATTCTCTAACAGCAACAGCCCACTTCTGGTAAGACACCTTTAGGCAGGACCACAAAAAAGCATAAATAAGGACAAGGCAACAAAAGCTCAGTGTTCTCTCACACTTAGAGAGTGCAAATATGTTGCTTACTTTATGTCTATTGTTGCTGGGTTTTTTATTTTTATTTTTTTTTCCCAGCAAGTAGTAAACATTCTGGAAACAAATAAATCTCAGCACTTACAGGAATATTTACCAGTTGCCCATGCATTTCACTTTCTCTACCAATTCCAACATTTTGTTGCATTAGAAAAGCAAGTGGGGGAGATTAATTCCCCTTTAAACCAATCAGAAGTGGAAAAAAGAGCCCCCAATTTCATGGTGATCTTTAAACGCAGGGCCAGCACCTGAAAGCCCTACAAGCAAGGCATGTGCTGGGGACAAAAAGCCCGGACACCTCTATCTGCTGCAGGGTTCCCACTCAGATCCAGCATGCCACGTTGCCACTGCTCTCCCGCAGTGAGGACTGGGCACACTGGCAGCACCCCAGTCCTCCAAAGCCTCCTCTCACCCAGCAGCCACCACCCATATCAGCACCATCATAAAGAGCTCACGCAGTCAAGGCACTGAGGCACTCCAAACTCAACACTCACTGAGCCTTCCTACTTTCCAGCAAGCTCTGGCTAATGCACACAGAGCACCGTTAAGTCAAGAATGTACTTATGTAGATTGGAGCCAAAAAATGACACCAGTCGGTTCGACCCCAAATGTTTTGGCTTTGCACACACAGCTACAGGTTTGCAAGAGCCGGGGGTACAGGCAGAGAAAAAAAACCTCAAGTCTCCTTACTCCACCTGGCTTTAAACCTCCGGATGTGTGTGAGGATGGATGAAGAACGAGTGGCAAGAATACTCAACAGATGTTTTCATTAGCATAAATTTGCCATTCATTCCTCTTTCTTCTACCATCACAAACTCCTCTATTATCCTCGC